ACCTTGCTTTTGGGACCTTGGTCCCAGAAATGCATTTAGAATACAACCAGGATACTCCACCGCTATACACTTGCTCTTACACCTCCATGCCATATGCTGTCCAGCCTCTCAACTTTTGCCCAGGCTTTCCCCATTGCCTGCCAGAACCCTCAGCTATATTCTCCTCACCTCCAAGCTTATGTGATGGCGACCAAGACCTCAGGCCCTGGGGTACATCTTGAGCCAGAATATGAGCTCAGATAGAAAATGAGCAGTTCTGGCTTCTGGTCTATAAGATGAGGACTTCACAGCCTTCACTTTACAGGATAGACTGAGGGCTAAGCAGGATAATCCTGGACGGTCTTATCTGAGGGTGCACCACACAAGCTCTGTGTTTTACAGCTGTTCTTCTTGGGTGTGATCTATCTCCCTGAGCCTGGGACTTAGTAGAGTTTGGGACACTGAGATCTTGGTTCTGAACTGCGCATGCCTCAGGAAAGGGGCTCATCAGAGAAGCTACTGCATTCCTGGAAATCCCTGTGGAGACAGCCCTGGAAATTTTTGCTCCAACATGTGAAGTTTATCATTGAGCTCTGAAAAGGATCACCCAAGACCTAGCTATGCCCATCTCAATGCCTCTCATGGTCAGAAAGGCACCAATGGCAGCCTCAACCTCTCTTTGCTATGCAATCTGACCCACTGATGCACTCAGCTGAGCCTTTGTGTTCTCAATTAAAACCCAAGGATAGTGAAACTCCTCACCCATAGAGTTTCATATTTATAGCTAATAACACAGAGGGTCTAATTGGGATCCATACCTGGCAGACACTAAAAAATTATAAGGTCCAAGGGCAGGCACAGCTCAGGGAGCATTAACCTGAGTTCTCTCTGAACACTCACAGATCAAATCTTCTCACTTACTTCCAGGAAGGACAGGGATTTAACTGCCTCTTCTGGCAGGTGAGAATGTTTCTGAGTGCACAGTGAGTTAGAAGCCTTCAGTAGATGAAGGGCTGGCCATTGGGAGAACAAAGACAATTGTCCTGCACCTGCTCTACTAGGCCTAACTTCACCTGCAGCACAGGGATCTCACAGCACAGGTTGGTACATCAAGCTCCAACAATGTACCTGCTGCCTGGGCCCAGAGTGGGGAACATCTGGTCTGCCTGCTCTTCCAGATGCATGCCCCTGGAAAAGTCTACAGAGTTGGTAGGACAGAGGCAATTCATGGCTGCCCCTGCTCTGAGAATCTCTGGGGAGACCCAGGCCCTGGGAAAGGGGCCACCTGGTCTCTAATGTCTCTAATGGTTAGATGGGCACCAATGACAGCCCCAACCTCTCTCTCAGTTTGCTATACAATCTGACTCATTGATGTATCCAGCTGAACCATGGTGTTCTCAATTGTAACACAGGATAACTAAACTCTCCACCTGTGGAGTTCCGTATTTATAGCTAACAACAAAGGGGCTGCTTGGGATCCATACCTACATAGGACAAAGCTGCTCTAAACTGTCTCAGCTGAGCCCTAGAGAAGGTTAGACCAGTTCAAGTTCCCAGTGAGGTAAAGGTAACCTTCATTTGCTTGTCTTACTGAGCTATAAAAAACTGGTCTTTCCAAGCTGGGCGTGGTGGCGCATGCCATTAGTCCCAGCACTCGGAAGGCAGAGGCAGGCAGATCTCTGTGAGTTCGAGGCCAGCCTGGTCTACATAGCGAGTGCCAGGCCAGCTGGGGCTACAGGGAGACCTTGTCTCAAAAAGACTTAAAAACAAAAAAACAAAAACTGGCCTTCAATGACCACCTACAGGACTGGTAGGTGGTTATATGGGAGAAAAGAGGCCCCCAGAATTTGAAGTTTTTCCACTCTTCCTAGTTATAAGGCCAAAGATGTCCAAAAGTCAGTGAAGAGGGTCCTAGGGGCCAGGGAAGCAGTACACAGCTAGTTCCTTCAGAGGGTGCAGCACCCACTCATTCTGTGAAGAAAACTCTACTTTCTTCACAACTGTCAGAGTTTCAAATGGGAGCCAGATATGGGTGTCCATATACTCCAAGCCTACAGTCAAGCTAATATGGCTTATGTTGGTTCATGAACCTAGCACAGAGAATTTTATAGGTCAGAACTTATGGTACAGAAGCTATATGGAGAATCATGTAAGAACCACCCATTAGCTACAGAACCTTGGAGACAATGGGATCCAAGAGAACTATTCCAGGAGTCAGGAAGCAAGTGCTATGTGAACTCAAGTAAAACCCTTGGGTTTGGGCCATATCTCTGGAGCCTGGCATGTAATAGTGCTTGGGAGACTGAGATCTTGGCACTGTGTAACATGTGCCAGGATCAAGGCAGCTGCTGTGGTTTTTAAAAACCCTATGAAGATAGCTCTGGAAACTCCTGCTCCTGCTCCAACAGGTGGATCTTAGCACTGAGCTCTGCAAGGGACGGCCCAGGACCTTTTATAACTATGCTAACCTCAGTGCCTCTGCTGGACAGATGGGCACCAATGGCAGTTTCATCCACTCTTCCAGTTTGACAGCAGACTTACCATTTGGGAAGAGGAAGAATCAGGGTTAGACATGAATCTTGCTATAATCTACCCTTGATATTACTTAAAATACCATCAAGCCCTCTTGGCTTCATCTAAAGTACATCCAGGGGATTTGAGGCCAAGTTGACCCCTTAATCCCAGATATCTGAACTGTCTGTCCTCAGCCTCTCTCAAATCCAGTATATAGCAGATCAGCCAATGCCTGGAGTCCCAGGAACACTCCATTTGACTCCCAGGTTAGAACTGTGGTATCAGGAGCTCCAGGCCCTGGCCAGGTTGGATAACTACTGCCCCTTAGTATCTCTCATCCAGAATGGAATCCCAGCCTCAAAATGGACAGGGTCATAGATACCAGTTGGCAACTTCAGCTTCGGAAACTAAGAAGCTGACATCCATAGGGATGACCAGATTCCATTCCAAGATCAAATGGTGAAACAGCCCAGCCTGAGCTAAGTACTGCATGGTGGCTGGAAAGAGCCCAACTATATACATCGACATGGAGGTGTCAGGCTATCTGCTTAGTCACAGGTTGTTGTGTTCACTTTACAGGTATAACACCTGTATAGAGTGTGGGCCCTGCTCACACTCCAAGGCTATTGAGCTAATCACGTAACTCCATGCGAAGCCAGGACCAGGCTTGAACCCAATCTCAGAAGGCCTGAGTAGACCTCATGTCACTGGAGATGTCACAGTGAGTTCCAGGACAGCTGGGGCTTCAGGGAGATCCTGTCTCAAAAAGACCATGGAGGCCAAACTCACACACTCTCTCTAATTCTGGTCTCATTCCCTAACACTCCCAGTGTCTGGGTCAGTCTCTCACCCTTATCAGTCTTCCAGTCCTCTCTCTCTCTCCCTGCTTAAGCTTAAGCTGGCAGACTGAGGAGGGTTTGCCACCCCACACTTGGCCACATCCCCTCTCAGAGGTATTTGAGGCAGTGCACCATGTATCTCCAAACTCTTCCAGTCTCTGTTTATTTCCACATTCCAATTTGAGAGCCACTCCATTTTTAGGTGTTTATCAGCACTGTTACAGTTTGAGCTTGCAATATCCTTCAACAACTTACATGTTGAAGGCTTGGTCCCAGCTGTAGCACTATTGAGATGTGATAGAAACTTTAAGAGGTAAGGCCTAGTTGGAGGCAGTAACTGTGGCCTTTACAAAGGTATGCATTGTCCTTGACTCTTTCTGTCTTTGCTTCCTGGCTGCCATAAGGTGAGTAGCTTTCCTCCACTATGATATTTCTGCTTTGTCACATACCCAAAAGCAATGGAACCAGCCAATCTGAAACTGTGAGCCAAATAAATCTTACCTCCTTTTAAGTTGTCATGTCAGACATTTTGTTATAAGAATACAAGTGATAGGCTAACAAGGATGGTTCAGAAGACAAAGGCACTTGCTGCCAAGTCTGACAACCTGAGTTTGATCACTGGGACCCACATAGTAGAAGAAAAGAATCGACTCCCATAAACTGTTCACTGACCTCCACATGCATACTGTGGCATATGGGTGCCCACACACACACACAGGCACACGTAAAATAAATATAATAAAAAATTTAAAAAGAATACACAATGATTAATATAAGTACTCTACTTCAAATACCAAAATCTATAGTAGTTTCCTATAGTGCCTGTAATAAGTTACCATAAGTTTAGTAACTTAAAAAAACAGCTGGGCATGGTGGCGCATGCCTTTAATCCCAGCACTCGGGAGGCAGAGGCATGTGGATCTCTGTGAGTTCAAGGCCAGCCTGGTCCACACAGTGAGTTCCAGGACAGCTGGGGCTTCAGGGAGATCCTGTCTCAAAAAGAACAAAAAAATAAAATTTAATTTAATTTAACTTAATTTAAAAAAAAAAAAAAAACATAGGTATCACTGCCTAACTCTAGAGGTTAGAAATCAAGATAAGTTTCACCTACTTAACTGAAGGTGTAGCAGGACTGCATTTTTTCCTGGGGCATTGCTTGACTCATAGCTCCTTCCTCCAGCAATTATGCCACTTTGACCTCTGCTTCCATTGTCCCATTTCTCACTCTGAGACTGCTCTCCTTCTTATAAAGACACTGAGTTTACCCAAATAATCCAGGACATTTCTTTCTCAAGATCTTGAATCACAGGGCTGGGGAGATGGCTTAGTTGGTAAAGTATCTCCTGTGTAAACTTGAGGACCTGAATTTGGATCCCTAGTACCCATGTGAAATCAAGGCACTGCAGCATACATATGTAACCTTAACACTGGTGGGGTGGAGGCAGGAGGATCCCTGGGACTTGCTGGCCAAGGAGTTTTGCAGAATTGGTGAGGACCAGGTTCAATGAAAGGCCCTGTCTCAAAAAATAAGGTAGAAAGTGATTGAGGAAGACAATTTCTCGCCTCTCCATGCATGTGCACACACACCTGCAAGCACATGAATGCATATACACATACCACATATATACACATAACACAGACTTTAATCATATCTGTGAAGTTGTGAAGTCCTTTGTGCCACACAAGGTAAAAATTGTGGGTTTGGGGGATGAGGACATGGGCATCTTTGGGAGCCATTATGCTGCCTATAGGGTCACCTCATTCATCTAAAATCCAGGGTCTTATCCAGGGCAGAAGGGTCATAAAGGCAGATCAGGCCACCCTCCTATCCACCACCCTGGCTGGAAGCTGCCTAGGGCCAAGAGCTTCAGGAAACCTGGCGCCTGTCCTTTGCTGTCGCCAAGGACAGCCTGTTCTCCTGGCATGGCTGCTGGGTAGGATCAGGTGCACTGGAGCACTCGAAGAGACTATGGCTCAATTTGAACAGCTGCTGGGCTCAGGCAGGAGGCCAGGCCTCACATCTTCCTCTCTCTGCTGACTGGAATATGTGAGTGCTACTATCAGGTCAGATGAGGGCTATCTGGAAACTTCCAGCCTAAGTCTAGAAAATGTATATGCTGTCAGTTTATTGGTGGACATTTACTGAACCTGACTAGGTCAGTCTCACAGGGAGCCCCAGAGAGATGAAACTGGAAGGTTTCCAAATTGAGAAGATAGACACATGGGTATGGCACTGGTAGAGACATGGGTAGGCGAAGGTTAGAACACTATGACATGGATCAGCCAGCAATGGTGAGCAAGGGCACTCCTCATGGATACACTGCTGAAGAAAGGGGAAGATATGTTCAGGGGAGTACTGCAGGGCAGCTGAGGTTCAGGACAGTAGAGAATATGAAGGTCCATAGGGAAAGACAGGCTAGGTTGCAAGGGCTAAAGGGCTTCCCACTTCAGGCCAGCAGTTTCATACCTGTCAGCAGTAGAACTTTTTGTTCTGACAGCAGCTTACTCAGAGCTCTGGTGGGGCCAGGAAGGAGTACCCTAGGGCTTTTCTCACAGCTGTTTCCCCACCTCTTCAGACAGGACTCTGCAGAACACAGAGACCATACTTAGGGCCTGGGAATCCAACCAAGGTTTAGGTCAGAGATTAGGAACAGATGACCACCTAGGGTCGAGGTGGAGGTGGGCAAGCAGAAGAGGGCGTATTTCTCATACCTGGGGGCACATTTTAATAAAGCAGCCCTATGGAGAAGCCCATGGGAAATGGTGAAAAGCATTCAACTGTGATACAAGACCACAGTTTCCCTACCTGCTGGAGAAGGGGGTGGAACTGTTCTCCTAGGTTCTGGCCTCAAGGCCTCAGGGGCCTGCAGAGCCTGGGCTGTACCCTTTGTCTTCCTCCTGCACTGTCCTCAAGGGCTTCTTGACTTGTACTAAGTCTCTGGCTCTAGTCTCAGGAGAGACAGGAAGACAGGGTATGTGAACCTGGCTTTCTCTGAGTAGAGCCCACTGGCTATCATGGCCTAGGCCTCAAGTACTCGGGCCTGCTGGGGAGAGGTTGAGAAGAGCTCTTCCTGGTGGTTCTTGTCTCCACAGGGCAATGACATCTACAACTAAAATCCTGCCATTTCTCCTCTCCTAACTGCTGTGTCTCTGCCTACCTTTTGTTGATACTGAGTAGACCCAGCAGGGCACAAGGCCTTCCCTCTTTGTGCCTATCCTCAAGGCATTGAACATACCCACATGTACTAAGAAAACCTCATCCTAGCTGAGGAGCTATGGCCAGGTGATGGCTTTTGGGTAGGCGGGGAGAGTTGGTTTCCTTTAAGTGTGACCCCTGGTAGGTTTACTATGCTCCAGTGAATGCCCTCACACCCAAGAGGATATTGGCAGCAATAATTGGACCCAATACACAATGGGTTATTTTTTTCAAAAATAAGAGGAGACAAAGTTGGGAGGTGCTAGGGATGTGGGGGGTGGATCTGGGAGGAGTTAGGGGGATGACTGGAGGTTAAATATGATCAAAATACATTGTATGAAATTTTCAAAGAATTAATAAAAATATTTTTTTTAAAAAGAAAAGGAGGGCCTGGAGAGATGGCTCAGAGGTTAAGAACACTGGTTGTTCTTGCAGAAGACCCGGGTTTGAATCCCAGCACCCACATGGCAATTAAAAACTGTCCATAACTCCAGTTCCAGGGGATCCGATAGCCTCTCTGTCCTCCACGGGCATTGCACAACTCAGGTGCACCTGCCTACCATGCAGGCAATACATGCATACACATAAAATAAAAATAATAAAGAAAAAGAAAAAGAAAAAAGAAAAGGAAAAGCTAGGTGTGGTGGCACATGCCTTTAATCCCAGCACTTGGGAACCAGAAGCAGGAGGAGCTCTGTGAGTTTGAGGCCAGGTTGGTCTACCTAGTGAGTTCCAGGACAGCTGGGGCTACAGGGAGGCCTTGTCTCAAAAAAGACAAAAAGACAAAAAAAAAAAAAAAGGAAAGCTCATCCCATGAGTCCCTCACAACCATCCTATATATAAAGCACATTGGCACCATTTCTCAGGGTTTGGAGGTCAAAGCTGAATAAAGTGAAGTTGTCTGCCCAAGGTCATATTCTGGTGAGGCGGAGACTCTAGACTCTAAACCCAGGTTTGTGTGACTCCAGCATGGTAACTCAGTGTCTGAGGCCCAGTTAAGCTAGCAAGCTATAGGCCCTGCCTTGCCAGTCTACTTGGTTTGGACTTTTTTCCCAGTGGAGTCAAGCCCCATTCTTTTCTGGGAAGGAAGTTGTTCCCAAGGGTGGCTCCTGCTCCAATGACCCTAGCTTCCCCTGTCATTCTACATCATTACTCTCATGGGTGCCATATCCATAGGCTTGGTAAGGCCTTACCTCAGAAACTGCCCTGAGGCCAGGAGGCGGGAGACTGTCATGAATTCAGCACTGGCTGTGAGACAAGGGGCAACAGACTGCTAGAGGTCAGGGCAGCTGCTGAGACAGCAAGAGCCAAAGGGCACAGGCAGGAGGAAAGAAAGGGCAATATTCATACTGGCTTTGGCAGGCAAAGTCAAGGGCATAAGGGGCTCAGGAGGTGAGGAACCTTGCTCTAGATGTACCCTGTACCCCATGCTACCCTCCCAGGTTCCTTCTGGAACAGTTATGAGGGAAGAGTCCAAGCTCCATCAAAGGAAGCCAGAGGCAATTCAGGGACTACACAGCTGAGGCTGGGCACAGGACAGGTCGCTAGGGCCAGACGCTGGGGCTCTGGGACCTGCAGTGCAGCCTCTGCCAAGACAAACTCACCCCAACCACAGCAGCAGACATTACCCAGGCCAGATATGAGTTCAGAATACAGATTCCTAGACAACAAGGACCTTACTTTCTGTCTCAACCCAAGTACCTCCTATCAGCAGATGTCAAGCAGAACACACCTTCTCTTGGCACCTTAGTCTTCCTGCCTAGACAGTAGGTATTCAGGAGCCAGCATGCACATCCTATTTGGCTGACCTAGGATAATATGAAGCTGCCCCCTTGCACTGCCCCTGGACTCAGAAGAGCCAGCTTCTTATAGAGAAAGATGACTGAGGTCCAACTGCAAGACTCTGCCCTTCAGCTGTCCTGGCTCTGGCAGAGGCGCTACCTATCACACCACACTGCCTCTGGCTGCTCTACCTCAGGCCATTGAAAATGCCAGGGGCAGGAGGAGTTTTACATATACTTTGCCACCCACCTAGATGCAGTCTTACACCAAAACTCACCAAGAAGTTTCCTGTTACTGCTTACAGTAGGCTGATCTTTGGGCTTCTTGGTAGCCAGGACTCTGCATAAACTAGAGCTGGGGTAAAAGTCACAACTTAGTGCCCAGTCCTGGTTGGGTGTGCTAACAAAGAAATAATAAGTGGATTATCTGAAACCCTAAATTCAACTTGGAAGAGATGGTTAGCTAAAAGTGTAGAGAATAAAAGCAAACAAGAGCCCTGCCTCCCATCCCCACTGATTCAAACCTTCACTTAAATGAATGTGGGCATGCAACCCCAGATTCACGTGTCAAAGACCCTCAACCCCATCCCCACCAAGAAATGGGAAGAGGCCCCTGAGCTAAAGCCAGATAAGGCCCTCATGCTTAGCCTAGCCCCAGTCAGAGAAGGGTACATAGGCAGACCCAGGCTGGTGGTAGACTTCATCAACCCAAAGAATGAACTGTTCTGTACAGGCCCTACGGTGTCCAAGCCCAGGAATGAGCCTCTGCCTCCCGATTCCCCTTATATCATTTCCTCACACTGGGCCTCATCCCCACTAGGTGGACACAGACAGCCTGCTTGTCTTGCTGGGTGAGGACAAAGCTCTCAGACCTAGTCCTACATGGGTAACGGGTCAAAGACCAACAAATAATGAAAACAAAAACATCAGGTCACCATTTATTGTTCTTTCAATATTTCACTGGCCACATTTTCCAACATCTTCACAGCAATTTCACCAAGAGGAACACCAAGCAACTTGCTACACTGATAGGATGGGTTGAACTAGAACGCAGCTTCTGAACCAAACTGGACACCTCTGTTCTTTGATGCCCCAGGAAGAACACTTCATCCTTGTCTCCAAATCTCCAAATATCTGTCATAGTGAATCACAAAACTACCACAATGCATGCCTGGGGTTCTGGAAAGCACCATATACCTCCCTCTGAGCAGTAATCCATGAAGAGCCATCCAGGCACCCATACAAGCTAAGGTCCTGGCCAGGTGTTCACAGGGCAGCCATACTATGGTGAAGACTTCTGGATGTGCAGGAACCGAGGCCTGAGGAGACAGGATGAGGGTCTGGGTACCACCTAAGCTCTAAGGAATGCACAGGAGGCAGAGACAAATGAACACAGTGAGGAGTATTGTGGCTATGGGAACTGAGCAGTTGGTAGAACCTTACCTGCCACAGAAATCTCTACGTACAGCCACGAGATTGAGGTGCAGGTTAGGCTGGCTCTGAAGCCAACTTCTGACAAGCTCTGGGTGCCTTGGGTCCACTTCCAAGAAGATGCTTCTACATGGAGGGGAAATAAGTCAGCTCAAGTGGGTAGGGCCAGGACCTGTGCTTCTAGGTTGTCTGGTCAGCAGCAGAATGACTGCCAGAGCATGCTAATTACACAATGGAATTGGAGAAGTCTGCTGTCCCTACCCAGAGGCATTCAAGAGCTTGGGTGCCAGGGTCAGGATATGAGCAATGATGTCCATGCCCTCCTTCCCACCATCCAGGGCCACTGGGTCTTCATAGCTAGATGGGAAAACAGTGGGAAATGAGACTGCGGTGGAGGTAAGGGTATACAAAAATGTACAGAGAAGCCAGGAAGGGCTTCCACAAAGGGCCCTCTGGACTTAGATTCTGGGTTGAGAAGTAAGCTGAGGACCTAGAGGAAGTGGTCTCCAAATGGATGGTAGTTCCTACCTTCCTGTCTCTTGTGGACAAGCACCCCCATCAAGCAGGGCTGGATATACCTGTTGAGTCCCGACGAGAGATAGCCCTTAGGGCATGATGGTCACCCACAAGAGGGCTGTTCTTGTTCTTGATCTGTGGACATCTAGAGCTGATCCTGACCATTTCTGAGAGCCCAGAAAAGGAAAGCCAGTACCCCAATCCATACTCCTACTGCCTATCCAGGGGCTAATTGGCTACAGTGGATTTTCAGTCTATGTAAAAGCAGGATGACTCAGTCCATAGCTAGAGGAGAGTTTTAGTGCTGGTTTCCCCACTAAGTCCTCATGGGACCTTAAACAGGGCACATTCTCTATCTAGGCCTTGGTCTTCTATAAAATGACACATTCATCTATGAGCACCTTCTTTTTTTTTTTTCTTTTTAAGACAGGGTCTCCCTGTAGTCCCAGCTGCCCTGGAACTCACTATGTACTACAAGAACTTCTATGAGGACTCACTGTGCCCAACACTTAAGTCCTGCCCACGAGCATGCAAGAACTATCACTCCTCCTTCAAAAACAGGAAACTGGGGCGCAGAGAAACTAGGGAGGCTCCAAGAATCTGAAGTGCAATGACAAAAACTGCATCAACATGGCTGTAGACTCTTAAACGTACCTCTCAGCACTAGGTCCCATTCAGCCCCCTCCTATCCCTTCCAAGTCAAAGAGTCCTCCACATCAAACCTACTAGGCCCTCTCTGGCCTGTCTGGTATCCCACCCCACCCTGTACCTGAGGATCTCTGGGGCCAGTTGCTCCATATCCTTGTGGAAGATGTAGGGAGGGTTGCTGACCATCCAGTCCACAGGGCCCCAGGGCAGAAGGTGTGCCCAGCTGCCCTCTGTGGTCAAAGAAGAGGGCATATAGCATGAACTGGTTCACTGACAAGTAAAAGGTGGTAACTCCACCTGTTACCATGTTCCTTAGTAGTCCCTTTTCCCAAGCCACACCATCAGCCTGACTTTAGGCCTGATAAGCCAGACTTGCAGATTAGTGGCCAGAGTCCCTAACCAGCAGCCTGACTGGGAGTGTACATGCTCTGACATATAGCCCTTCATCTAGAATGTTCTTGTTCTCTCTCCTTCCTGTCAAGGCCTCCTCATTAAGCAATATTCACTTCAAGGGCCACCTTTAATAAGCCCTTCCTGATTTCCTGGGCAAAGTAAGACCTTCTCTTCTCTGCAGAGCCCCCTGGCCTTGTCACACTCTGCTTTATAACCAATATAGTTGAAGTACATGGTGGGTAGGCCTGTCCTCCATCAGTCAATTCCTTGTGGCTTTGTTTCTTGGTCCCACCTGTGCCAGGTGCTAAACCAGGTGTATAATGCTCCATGGAGGGGACACATAAGGCTCAGGGACTCCATGAATAGAAACAGAATCAGAACTGGAACTGTACTGGAAATCCAAAGACAGTAGAAACTGACACTGTGCCACACTGCCTCGTCACTTTTTCCTAAGCAGGGCACGCATGTATTCTGACCCTAAAGATTACCGACTTTTTGTTATTTGCTTTTTTCTTTTATTTTTCTTTTTTTCTCTCTCTTTTTTTAAAGATAGGTCTTACTTTCTAGCCTAGGCTGGCCCGGAACTCACAGGAATCCTCCTACCTCAGCCTCCTAAGTGCTGAGATTACAGACATGAGCAACCATACCTGGCTCCTAAAGGCTTTCTTTTGAACTTCTGCTTATCTCTTGCTAATAAGCAAACTCTAGTTAAACTCACCAGTAACAGGAGATCAAGAAGGTATGGCTAGTCCTCTCATGGGTCAGGCCAGCCAAGGAAACAACAGCAACTTGTCTGTCTTCAGCAAGAGCTGGTCTGAGATGGCCCATGTGCAAAACCATTGGGGAACCCTTCCCCTATTTCTACAGTGCCTTGTCCACTGACAGCAACTCTGTCCAGGATCCCAGGATCCCCACCCAAAGGAAGATGGGTAGGGGAAGGTACCTAAGGTCACATCAAGGGGGATGATTCGAATCCTGTCCTGCAACTGAAGCCTAGAGAGATAGGGAGATAGAGGTGAGCATAAAAAGACAAGACTGTACTCTTGGCTACAAAGATCAGGAGGGAAGGAGAGCCCTTGTTGGATCAGCAATATACCTAGTGCCCATAGTTCATCCATTCATAAACCTGTGAAACCAATGCCAGGCTACCCTCATTGTAACTCTCTCTCCCTTAGGAGTAGAAGTCAGACACCAGAGGTTTGATAGTTGAATAAACGTCAAGTTCAGATCCCAAAGTCCAGCTCCCCAATGCTAGCCCTCTGGATCCCCCAGCCCACGTACCTCTGAGCATTCTCATGGGTCAGACTAATAGCAGCTTCCTCTTTATCCACAGCAATGACTTGACTCTGCCCCAAGAACAAAGGAAGGGAGGTGGAATTCTGGAAAGTGCCTGGTCTGGGAACCCTCTCTAGTGCCCGAGAAGAAGGAAATATGCAACACATTTTACCTATAGCTAGGCACTAGCCAGATGGGAAAGGTGGGAGTTAGAGGCTATGTCCATGCTGGCATGGACACACCTTCCTCATCTGGTCACTTTCCCTCAATACTTCCAGCAGAGGAATGTGGAGGAAGCCCAATGGGAGGAACAGTGAGTGTCTATCACAGTGCAGGGTAGAGGAATGCAAAGGGACCTTACCTTAGGGAGCTGGCTCAGCAGGCTGAGGGCAATGGCTCCTGATCCACAGCCCACATCCAGAATGAGGGGACCATCTTGGGCTCCAACTGCATAGGACCTCTGAGCCACTTCCTCTAGAACCCATTCAACCAGTTCCTGGGAGGAAGAATGTTTGGATCAGACTTGGTGCCAGTCTTGCTCCTGAGAAATCTTAACAAAGAGGTCTAAGCAGTTGATCTCTACGTGAAGGTAGGGGTAGACAAAGCCAAGCTGATCTTAATATCAGCTGGGACCCTGGGTAGGTCATGCTGCATCTCCATGCTTCAGTTTTCTTATCTGAAAAGCTGAGCATTCCTCCTGGGAACATGATAAATATTAAGCTGAGTCGTATACCTGATCCCATAACTTGGATAAGTAAACAATAAACCCCAGCTATGTCCCTTTCAGACATCTTCCCATTTTTATATTCACAGAAATGCTGAGAACCACATCTGATGGCCACTCTCTCTGCACCTGGTCCTACTTCTACAGTCCCCCCTGTATTAATCTGTTGGATCATTAAAACTGACCCATGAGGAAACTGAGGCCTAAGGGTCAAGGCCCTGGGATTGGCTCACCATGGTCAAGAATCAGGGGCTGAGAGTTGGGGATATAACTCAAAGGCAGAGCACTTGCCTAGTATGTGCGAGGCCCTGTATTCCATCTTCAGTACCATGAAAATAATAAATAAACAAACAAAAACAAACAAGGGCTGGTGTATCCTCGGCTTTTTCACAGATCTGAGTCTGGGAGGTTCCCAGGGAGGCTCCTAAGCCAAAGGGACAAGCAATTCCCTTCACAGGGTACCTGAGACTCATATTTGCGGGAGGCTGTGGCACACACAGAATGTGGCAATGTGGCACAGGTATGGTAGAAGGCCTGTCTGCACAGCACCTACTGCTGCAGCAGGAGGGTATTTTCAGACACCATCAGGTTGAAAGCAAGAGGATTTGAATCTTGCCTACCATCTGCTGCCTATAAGGGCTGTGTATATTAATCAGCATAGGATAAGGTAGGAGTGAGGGGTAGCAGTCTGCTGCTGTCCAATAGCTGAAATGTTTCTAACCAAGAGGTGAGTGGGGGGACTCAAGTAGCCATACATGGAGCAGGGAGAGGGTAATGTGGCCCCTTCTCAGGCACACACTCTGCCCTTGGATGTGGGCAGAAGGCCTGCCCTTCAAGGCTCAGAAAACTAGGAGGGACCAACAGGTGAAGAGACCCATCTTTGCAGAAAGCCTTCTTAGCTCCTGTCAGGTTCCTCCACCTCAGCTTTTCCCATCCTGAGTTGAAAGTCTAGAATGGGGTTTATCCTTCCTATTATATTAAATGAACAGAAGACCTCAGGTCTAAACCATCAGTCAGGCCCAGTGGAGCAAACAATTTCAGATCACACAAACCCATTTTCCTTTGAAGTTTTTCCTCTTGAGTCCCCCAAAGCATTTTGTCCTTCCAGGCCCCCAATCACAGTAGCAATGAGCATCCACTCCAAAGTTAACAAGTCAAAAGCACACAGAAGTTGACCCATGTTGTCCAGTCCTTCCTGTTCCATGCCCCTTCGGCACTAAAAAAGCTACAGTGAGGGAGCTTCGTTCAGTCTTGTGCCAGGCTGAGTGAGGAGCACTCAGATATGTACAGAAAGCTGAGCCCATAGGATTATAACTAGAAAAGAGCTTACTGTCTAGGTCTATGACTGAATGGCTGTGGTAAAGGCCACACAAGGCTGAAAGGCTAGCAGAATGACAATCTATGTTAGGGGTGTGAGTCTCAATGGGTTTCCCGGCCACAAACAGCCTACTATGGCTGGAGGATGGCTCCTCAGCCAGCCTACACTGGATAGCTACCTCAGAGGCATCCCTGACCTCAGACATACACCATCTATGTTAATGGTCACCTGAAGCAGGGTATGAGGCTGATGGACTGGGCTCCCAGGGCCATCAGTGACCTTTTGCCTTCTTTTCTTCCACAGACCATGGAAAGCTCATCTTGATTGTGGGACCATCTCGGGGACAGAGACTGAGATCATGTCCACGAAGTCAAGAAAATTCTTTCCTATGCAGTGAAAATTTTCCCTCTACCTGAATCTGTTGGCTCTTTGGGAAGGCTCAAAGCCAAGCTGGTCATAGACCCAGATCATCTATTCCAAGTGAACTTGGGAAGAATTGAAGAATATGGTGGGATGGAGAGACAGGAGTATGTGTACAGGCAGAGAACAGACAATTGTTGGTTTAGCCTGGAGCCTCTCTCAGCCTACAAAGCCATACCATATCAGGTAGGCTGGAATGGCTCACACCCGAACCTTGGGTTTCCTACTGTACATGCTGCCACATAGGAGACTCAGCCACCCTCTCACCCTCAGGGAAAATCAAGCTCATCAGGCCACAAGCCACTAGCAACTTTGCATTTCAGACTTTCACACCCATCATCAGAAACTGCCCTTTGATGGATGGAGAGAATACAGACATTGTGACCCCTCCCCTGTACCCATTACCCCTCTCTACCACAGGCCACGTCCTCTTGATTTCTTGGTAAGGCACCCCTACCCGATGTGGCTTCACATTGGGGCAAACCTGATGAGTTCTCAGAAATGTCTGTACAGTGAGGCGAGGACTTGGCCTCCCAACCACAGCATCCTCACTCTTCCCCTCCTCAGGCTTCAAAACTGCTTTCCTGGCCCAGACCCACCCAAAGTGGGTGGGGCACATGGGAGCTAAAAGCTCACACCTAATCTAAAAATTCCAAAACACATGGCAGGTGCCAGGTCAGCTCTGAGGGGACTCATAGGTCACTTGATAGTTGACCTCCCATGCCTTGGCTCGCCTCTGCAGATGGCAAGAGACCTTCTAACCAGAAGTCACATGTTTGGGGAAGCCACAGGGTAATCCCCAAAAGCCTGAAGACAACAAGCCACATCCTGCTTTGAGTCTCTCACCCTATCCAAGGTCATACCAATCTTAAATAGGACAGTCTCATGTGAAGAGTCAGGAAGTTCAAATGCTGCTCCATGATCCCCTACTTGAGAGCCCGTGACTTTTCAAGGCCTCGGGTTTCCTACTGTCCCTGCCCTGACATGGTGCAGGGAGGTGAAAATATAGTCTCTCAACCACAAACCACATGATAAGGGGGTGAGGATAATTAGAGGATTCTTGACTGAGGGACCAAGGCTAAGTGAAGGGAAGCTCAGGGACCCTGACTAGTAAGTGGAAGGGGACTAACTTTTCCTAGGAATATTTGTGTGCCTGGGTATCTTTCCAGAAATAACCTTCAGAGCCTAGTATCCTCTGGTTTGCCCATCATCTCCTATAAAGCCCCACTTCACCCCACAGTCCATTTTCTCTGGCTCCCAGCTCTGTCATCAACAAAGTAAGGAGAAGTTCAAGAAAGATCACAGAAAATATCTCCCAGATGAGGAACCCTCCCCAAGGTACAGCCTACATGGGCTACACAAGCCCAGTTTTAGTCATTTGAAAGATTAACACAAGTGATTACCTGATCAGACAGCAAAGCTAAGTGGAACATCAAGTCAGATTTCCTGGTCTGAAAGACCAACAATCTTATCATCTGGGCCCAGAGTGGGTAGCAACCACCTATGACGCCAGGTCATACCAGGCCTCCAGATGTCCAGCTAGAGACCTTTCCACTTCTACCCATGCCTTCTAAGAAGTTGCTGGAGGACATTTGTTTCCCATGGGTTGGGTCTACCATGGGTCCACAGGATAACTCCTTAGAAATGGCCACAACAAGCTGAGCACTGGGATATCATTACTTGGAGCACTCTGAGTCACTTCCAGTCCTTGGAGCTGGGACAGAGGCTTGGAATGTGAGGATAGTCAAGGGGAGATAGCAAGAGGAGTCCTCTATCTTGGCTCAGTCAACCCAGTCAGCAAGATAGGTAGTGTACAAGGGCACTGCTGCTAAAAAGACACCATGGGGCCTCAGCACCCCCTGGAGGAAGTCTGGGGCAAGACATGTACCTTGAACCTCACCTTCACCTTCATCCAGTCTTACCGCAGTGATATACTCACCTCTGTCTCTGGCCGAGGAATAAACACTGGGGGTACCATCTTCAGACTGAGTCCCCGAAAGTCCCACTCCCCAAGGATGTATTGCACTGGCATCCTGTAAAGGGGGCAGCAGAGGTCATTAGTGTTAGAACCAGGACTACTAAGAACTACTAAGACCACAGGGGCATTGAGGACTACCTCTAAGGCCAAAGCTATCAGGCAGGATCATGTCTGAAATCCACTGGGACACATAGTATAGGCCTACCTTCCTTCCCTTCTTCGTATTTACTACACTATCCCTCTCTTGCTACTCCCTCACTCCAACAGCTTCTTAGTCCCTAGATATTTTCCTCCTCCCTGACCATGATTTGGTGGGGTTGGGGAACGCTGGATCCCTGTTCCTCACACAGAGCCCTCAGGTCAGTTCATGGGTGCTTACCGCTGTAGTCGACGGCTACATAGTTCCTGGATGTACTGTAGTTGTTTGGGGGTCAATGGCTGGGTCCAAAGTACTGGTTTCAGGCTCTGAAACTGTCACCATAGAGAATGTGAGTAGCTGGCTCCCTTGGTCTAGGAACTGCCACCCAGGTTTCTCATGTGAATAATGCCTGTGGACTTAGCACTGGCCACTTGGTCATCCCTGAACCCAAAGTGCCTGGAACACACCACAATAGTGTACTAGATGAGTAAGTATCCATTCCTGAAACATTCCTTCAGAAAAATCCCATTAGTCTCAGCTAAGCACCCTGAGGCAAACAACAAGCAAGCAAACAAGCAAGTAAATAATAACAACAAAACCCTCACTATCTCTTCCCTAAAGGTCTCCCTCCGCCTAGTTCCTGCCCTCCTTAACATTGCACTTAACTGTTTTGGATCCAAGGACATGAGCCACGATGTATTCACTGGATTCCCGGGCCTCTGGGATACCTCTTTTCTTAAATACCTCTGTCCAGTGGCTGACCAGCCCTGTGGCACTCACCAGCCCAATCAGAGAGGAACATGAGCTTAAGGCCCAGCTCCAGATGGCTCCCCTCTTCCCCCTGGGACCAGAGAGGAGGACCCACAGACTTTGACCCCAAAGTGCCATGTCTTGGAGAAAGTTCCCAAGTGTTCCCAAGTTCCCAAGTCTCCCTTGTGATATCAGCTGTAGAGGTAGATGCTGAGAGTGGTCCCTGGCCCTAGCTGGGTAGAGTTGGATGGATCACAGGCTTTGGTTCTCCAGTGTCTTGGTTCTCAGATGTAGTTGCCACCCTAAAGGAAAGGGAGGAAAGGATCAAGAACTACCTGAGAAGGGCATGCTCTTACTCTGTCATCTCATGGACTGCAGTTAGACCCTCAGCCACCTATTTGATTTCTTGTCTTCATCAGTTATGTTTTCTCAGTTTCAGCTGAAGTAAGCTGAATCGGCATATTGAAGTCCCTGTCAATATGTGTGGGTCTGAGGGGAGGACAGCTCTATGTTAAACCCTAGTGCATGTGAATTTAGACAAGTCACTGATTTCCAGTTTCCTCATTCATAAGTGGAGAAAATAACGTGAACTCCACCGTGAGTAGTGTCTTGGTCAATGAATTATCAACAGCCTGAAGCCAGCACATCACACAACAGGGACTTGAAGTTTTGAAATTTAACTAATAGATGGCAGGAGACTGTTACAACTGGAAACTTTGCTTGGGACATTGTCTATGTACAGTCACTGTTTGAATGCTGAACTTTTTCCTCTAATATAATCCATAATCCAGGCATTAGCACAAGTTGAAAGCTGAAATTTTTAAACGTTACACTTCAGTTGACATAAACAAGCTATCTGAAGGTTTAAATCAGTGGTCTCTTTACTTGCAGGCAAATTAAGATCCAAACTAACATTTGCTGAGTACCTGCTAACTGCCAATCCTCAAAAATAGAACTCTGGGAGAACTCGGCTCTGCCAGACTCCAGACGCAACTCTGTCCACCTGTAACCGCTCCGAGAGGAATCAAAGCGGGAGGCCTGAGAGCAGCCTTCTTCCCAGATCCTCACCGGCATTATCAATAACAAGTGAGGGCGCCTCTCTAAATCTGTTTCCCCATATGCACTAGGAGATGGCGCCGGCCAGGTCTCAACAGCGTTGCAGTCCAAGTACGTGCATCCGGATCTCCACCTCTAGAGCATACCTGCTAGCATACCTCTAGAGCCCACCTGCCCTACCCACACACCGACTAGGGGAAAAGACCCCAGGACCAACTCCCGGATGTGCGTAGACTGCAGTGCACTCCCTCAGCCGCCTTGCTTCCGGCTCGGTGCTGTTGAGAAAGCGCTCGGGCGGACCACGTTACCTAGTTCCAGGGTTCCCAAAGAGGCTGAATTCCTCCATTGGGGCTGCGGGAGGTAGACAGGAAGGCTGTGAACTCTATGCCCATTACGTAGCGCATTTGCGCGAGGTCCCAGACCCACTCTTCCATAAGGTTACATCAGAGATGGGGCTCCAGCTGGCGGGAATTGCTTTACAGACCTTGCTGGGGCGGAACCAATAGCTAGCCAAAAGCGCGAGGGCGCACGAGGGCGTCACCCACGTGTCTTGGGTTTTAGAGCCAGACCAGATGTCTTGGAGGCCTGTTCTAAGAGCTTTCTGACTAGGTCTAGCTGCTTGTGGTTGGGTTTCGGTTTGGGGACTAGTCCCTGTTTGGTGAAGGGAACTCAGTTACTTGGACAGTGTAAGGACTGTGGGCTAAGGGACTAAATGGCAACTGAACCTGAGGGACTCTCCCTGACCTCATATGCACGTAGGATTCGGAGCAGGGAGCAGGAAAGAAAATACTAGAGAACTGGATTTGGATCTTGATCCTGGTGGCAACTCATTTCTTGAGTTTAAGTGCCCAGACTTTTCTAGGCTTCAGTTGCTCCTTCAGTTTTCTCCTTCAGTTGCTCCTAGTTGTGCAGGTTTGTAATCCCAGATACTGGAGTGTGGAATGGCTGAAGCAGGAGGATCACAAGTTCAAGAACAGCCTGGGCAATTTAGTGAAAACCCTCTCTCAAAAAACAAAACAAAAACAAAAACAAAAAAAACGAACTTCTTTTAAATGGGGGTACGGAGAGGCTAGAGAGGTGTCTTTGTTGTTGAGAGAGAGCATACTCCTCTTACAGAGGACAGGAGTTAAGTATTCCCATGTTGGGAAGCTAACAACCTCCTGTAACTCCAACTCCAAGGGGATCCAGGGACCCTGGCCTCTGTAAGCACCTGCACCCATGTGCACATACCCACATACAGACACATGTAATTTAAAAACAAGATAAAATAGGGACTGGAGAGCTGGCTGGGGTTAAGAACACTTGCTGCTTTTGCAGAAAACCCCCTTCAGAAGGCTCACAACTGACAGTAACTCTAGTTCCAAAGGTTCTGATGCCATCTTCTGGCCTCCTTGGGCACATGCACATGGTGCACATAGACAAGCAGGCGCATATACATACACATAAATAAAAATACGTAAAATTAATAAATCGGTTTTTTTATGGGAGGGGCTATAGATGTAGCTCACCTAGAGTGAGCACTCCACCTGCACTCAGAGTTGCACACTGAAAATTCGAGATACAGAAAAGGTTTTGGGGGGAGCACTTGACCAGGAGTCTGGGGACTAAATTGACTCTGGCTTCATCCTCTACTGACTTCGTATCTTTGAGCAAGGTTGGATCCTCAACATTGCATAAATCTGGCATGGTGGTGCACAAAAAGCTCAAAATCATCTTTGACTACATTTCAAGTTTGTGGCCAGTCTAGGCTACATGAGACCCTGTCTTAGAAAACAAAATAACAGGGGCTGGAGAGATGTCTCAGTGGTTAAGAGCACTGGCTACTGTTGCAGAGGTTCAGTTTCCAGCACCCATATAGTGACTAACAAGTGTCCATAACTCCAGTTCCAGGGGATTTGACGCCCTCTTTTGGCTTTCGAGGGCACATGGGTGTACCTACATACATGCAGGCAAAACACTCATACACACAAAATAAAAACAAAACCACAAAAAAAACACAAATCAAAAACTGGAGAAAAAGGTATGTATGGAAGGGTCTAGGAACCCTAGTGGTGCACACCTATAATCCCAGCACCCAGGAGGTGGAAGTAGAAGGATTTTCTTGAATTCAAGGCCAGCCTGGGCTACATAGTGAGTACTACGGCCAGTCTGGACAACGGTGTGAGACTGGAAAACAAAACAAAACAAGTTTTAAAGGACTGATGTTAATTTATGTTAGAGAAGGCGAGTGGGCTTCTGTCCTGAGATGCTTATGCTGTGGATGGAAGGGTATAGGTGAGCTTGCTTGGGTGGGGTACCTAATAATAATGTTACTCAAATAATTCGATTCTGCTCCCAACATCTCTGGGATTGAGTCTCCACTTCTAGCTCCATAGGTGGTGTCATTACCAGGAACCCTTACGCTAGCCCCATTTGAGTAGGAAGCTGAGACAAGGAGGGGAAGCAGCTTGCTTAAGGACACAAAGTCAGTAGAGGATGGAGCTAGAGTCAATTTAGTCCTCAGACTCCTGGCCCAGTGCTCGCCGCAAACCTTTTCTGTACCTCTCCCTTTTCGGTGTGCAACTGTGTCCCAGTGCAGGTGGAGCTGACCTAGACGCCGAGTTCTGGCCACCTACGCTTTCCTGCCCGATTTCTACGCAGGCCACGAAGGTCAGAGGTGTTCTCAAAAAACCTCCCAGGGCTGTGGGACCTCAGCAACCCACTCCCGATGGGGGCGGAGCTCTATCTGAACGACAGGTGAGCGGGCCAATGCTGGGCGGGCTTTAGCCATGGCAGCCAATCAGGGGCAGGAGGCGCTGAGCGGGCCGGGAGGCAAGGTGCTCCGGCTCCCCGGGATCAGCTCCCACCCCCGCCCCCCGGCTGCTCATCTCAGCCCCACCTCCCTGCCGTGGTCCAGGCCCTGCCCACTCCAGCTCTGGCTGACAGCCGGCGCTAGCTGATGCTAGCAGATCCCAGCGCTCAGGGAAGGTGGACCTTGGGTCGGACCTGTCGGCCCCCAACGCCGGGCCTTCGTATTCCCCCCCACGCCCCAGCCTCCAGCCCATCGCCACCACCCTTAGCTTCTCAGACTGAGCTTGGAGCCCCGGAGAGGATTAAGTAAGTGCTGAGGTTGCTGGTTCTGAGCTAGAATGGAGGAATCACAGGGTCGTGGAGGCGGGCGTGGGGATTGAGGCAGGGAGGACTGTGAGACCTGGTGAAGAATGGCATGAAGGTTTTCGGAGGTCGGAGTGCTCACCACTTCTACCCTGGCTTTCTTCCCTTCCCTCTTTGACCCCAAGGCAGGTCAAGAAAGTAGTCAGCAGGATGCTTTCTCTCCTTTGGTCCAGAATAAACAGTGAGTCAGAGCAAGTTAAGGGTCTGATCCAAGGTCATGCCTGGGGTCAGTGATGGAGCCCAGAAGAGAACCTGATCCTCCATACTAAGCCAAGCTGGAGAGGGCCAAGAGGAATGAGTGCACTCCATATATGACCATCTGCCAGCCTTGCCCCTTCCTAAGGGACCATGATGGATGTGGGCACACCTCACACACAATTTTGCACCTGCAGGAAGAGACATCCTGGGTACTCCCATGAGTCACATAGTGTGTGCAGCCATGAGCTAGGAATCCCTCCTTTTTCTAGGCCGGCCCTCAGCAGCATGACTGGGGCCCCGTCCCACCCTTGCTTTACCCAGACCCACTGGACTGGGTGATCACCCATCCTCTGCCCCCCAAAGAGGAGGGAAACAGAGAAGGCATTTCGGAGTTGGATATTCCATCACTGTTTCTGAAGATATATTCCCCTGCCTTACTCCTAGGAGGGAAAAGGAATAGTCCAGGCCCCCTCCCCACAAATACCCTGCCAAAAGATCCAGCTTAGCCTCTCCTTCCTAGTGTCGCCACACTAGCCTGACCCCAACTCCAAGCACGGCCTAATTACACAGAAGACTAGATTTGGGTACTCCTGTACCCTCCTTCTCCTGACTAGATTATGGTAGTGGGGGGTATGATGGAACATTTACTAGGTACCTCCTGTGGACAGGCCCTGTGCTCAGCTAAATCTTTTCTAGGGGCTTGTTGTTCTGACATGCTGCCAACCCTACAACATTATGGGAGTTGTTCTTAACATTTCCCTCACTTTAGACTGAGAAAAACTCAGAGAGCAGGAGTGGCTTGCCTGGGGTCATCTAGTTAAGTGACTGAGCCTAGACAGGATTCAAAACCCTCAGGCCTGTCTGAGACTTAAGCCAATGTTTCCCACCAAGGAAGGAAAAAGCTGCAGTTTTTTCAAGCAAGCAGGATGAAGGATGTGGGTACAGGGAGTGAGGAGGGTAGGGGTAGGAGGAATAGTGAGTACATAGATATTTGTGCAAGGAATAGATTTTTTTTTCTTACAAGCCTTCTGCATCTTCTCCCATCTTCCAAGTATGATCACTGTAATCATCTTGCAGGAGTGGTAGGGGCTTGTTTTCATGATCCTACATCCATGAAATAAAGCAGCCATAGATAAAGCATGTGCCCTAATACCCCCCTGAACTTGCCTTAGCTCTGTCCCCTAACTTTCACTTCCCTAGCACCTTCAGAACATGGAGGGACTTTATCTCATGGTCATGCCTTAATCCTTAACTATTTAAAAAAAAATTCTTTCCTTTCCAGAACCCAGCAAGGCAGGGCCTTCCTCTAAGGACGTGGTTGTGGTTGTGCCGGTGGCCATCACAGGTAGTGGAAGCCACGACCTAAGGCCCTCCTAACATCAGAAGTCAGCGGGCAAATTGACTGACCATTGGCAGTCTCCTGGCATCAGCATGAACTCCAGGGTTCCAGCTGATCAGGGCTGGTTCAGCAGCCACCCACCCACCACTAAGACTGACTTGGAGCCTGCCACTGAAGGGTCCACCACCGAGACAACAACCCTCAACCCTGAAGCCACAAGTTTCAATGACACCAGAATCCCTGAGGTGGCAGGTGGCACAGCTGGTGTGGGTACCATGCTTCTGTCCTTTGGGATCATCACAGTGATTGGTCTGGCTGTGGCCATGGTGAGAGCTGGGACAAGCTGGGGGTGTCTCAGAAGGCCCTCCCTTGGGGGAGGGTAGTCAATGTTTAGATTTAATGCAATCCTCCCAACACCACCCTGAAATTTGTTTACTGAGGCCCAGTGAGGCAATCCTAATAGGAAGAACCAAAAACAATTTTGAAGAATATATAGTGTTTTGAGCTGGGCCATGAAGGCCACATAGGATTGGGACATGGGAGGGTCCAGGATCAGTGTCCCGATAGACAGAAGTCTGAACCAGGCAGGAGGTTCTGTGCACAGCAAGCAGAGCAATGAGGCAAAGGGTGTGGGGGTTTCAATAGAGGTTGAAGCTAGAAAGTGGTTGGGATGTTTTATGGGCCTCAGAGTCTGGGTGGGATGCTCTAGTTGTGGGAGGCTGTTACCAGTGTTCATTCATGCATTCATTTGGCAATTATTTACTGGGTATCTTCCTTTACCCTTGGGACTCAACAAGGCTGGAGGAGACAAGGTTCTGACCCATGTTTCTTATGAGAAATGGGTTAGTAGGCAAGGGTTTTTATCTGGGCTGGGTGGTCAGAGACATCTGGGAAGAAACATTAGAGCTCTGACTCCAGGTAGGAGCCAGACCTCACTGTCATGAGGGGTTGGTAGTCAGGTAGCCATCAGACCAGAGGTGTGCTGGAAGAATGCTGTAGGTATCCCTCAGTAGTGACAGACACTCAATGTCACTAAAGGACCACCAGAGATTGTTCAAGCTAAGACTAGGAAGACAGGGTACACTTGAATCCCCCAGAGGGCCTAGGAGCAATGGCATTTTGCCCATTGCCCCTTACAGGTAATGATGGCTAGCCTTAGGCTCGGGAGCATGACTAGACAGGGGCTCTGGGGATGCAGCTTGGTAGTCAAGTGTTTGCATAGCAAGTTCGCGGTTTAATCCTTAGCATTGAGGTAAACAAACAAACAAATGGCAGGGATGGTCACCCATGGCATGACATGGCAGCTTTTATACTAGGATTGCCATATGGACCCTGCAGGTTCTGGACTGCTGCCAGGGAACAACTGCTGATCAGCAAGTGAAGCCAGGATGTATCACATGTAGGGGGAGGCCAGGGTGGAAAGGTCTCCCAGGGCAAGAGGGAGGTAGAATGCCCATGTTACCCTTTGGTACCCATGTGGTAGATAAGCAGACAGAGACACCCTAACCTCAGGAGCAAATGGCTTAGCATCTGTCCTGGTTAGTCTCAGCAAAAGATTTTGACCTAGGAATTTGATAACGCTGCCTTGCTCTTTGTTCCAAAGGAATATTCAGAAAGAGTGGATGACTTTCCAGGCAAAGGTGGAGAGCAAGAAGATGGTAGAACAAAGACAGTGGAGGGCAGGAAATAACTCCAAGGCATGGAGGCAAAGAGTTCTAGAACTGTCCCCTCAGTGCTGCTTCCTTTCCCCTTGTGTCAGCCTTGAGCCATGCCATGGGTGCAAGGAGAAGTCAATGCTAACCTCATGCCTCACATAGGAGTATGAAAAAGTTCTTGGTATGGCAGAAACAGCACAGGATTGCTTCCAGGGAAGTGGGTGCTGGATAGTAAAAGGTGGGAAGATTTAGAGAGGGTGGTGGGGATGTGTCTGCAGTTGGGGTAGAGGGGCCACAGAGTAAAGGCATGGAGGCCACATGGGGGTTCTGTCTGGCCTTTCCTGCAGATTCTTCTGAGTCACGGGCCACAGGGAAGGGAGGAGGTGTGGAGCAAGGACCACAAGGCAAAGGAGCACAGGATACTGTGGCTGGAGCTGTTTGCTCAGGGTGGGCTAGGGCTGGCGCTCCGAGTTCCTGTTGCATCTACCCACAGGAAAGCAAGGAGTCACCCCCTGGAAGGAGTGGATAAGCTATAGGGACACTCCAGCTCCTTCTAGGCCTTTGAAGTCATGTGGGAAAAGCTCTGGGCCAGACTGGGAACCAAACAGATTCAAGCTATGAATGGGCTATGAAGATTGTGAGTGCCATGGGGGTTTAGGACAAACTCTGGGGATATCTTTCTCCCTAGGCAGAAGCTGCTATACTCTGGGTAGTCAAAAATTGCTAGTTTAGGGAAGAGCAGATGGCAGTGGTCCCTGGAGTCACTGCCAAATCTTACCCCTTTCTCTCTTCAGTGCTTGGTACTAAGGCTTCCTGCTTCAGCCCGCAAGTTCTAGATGTTTTCTAGTTGGTAACCCTTCACCTTTGTGTCTGAACAAGGTGGCAGAGGAGCAGGACTCAGAGATTTTCTCAGATTCCTTTAGCATCAGAGTTCTGAGAAGGGTACTCCCAGGGCCTATGCCCACTTCCTCATCCCTGTCCACTGAGGGCCATCAGCCTCCCAGTGTAAAGCATTGCCTAGAGCCCTGCCTTGCAGTCTGGCCGATGTTGGTCTGCTGTTCTTTTTTCCTATAAATGTTGTTGATGAGAATTGAGGGAAAAGGACATGCTGATGTCCTGCCCTTCCCCTTCAGCACTGAGGAATCCCAGGCACATGCTGAGTGGGTAAGGTTAATCAGGATTGGAGAACTGGAGAAAACCAGTTCCAGTCAGGCCTAACTAGTTTTCCCAGGCCTGCCCACACCCCTCCCCTTCATTTCTGAATCTCCAAACCCAGTCTGGGCTCTGTTAGCATCTAAAGATATCAAAGGAACCAAGTGTGGAGGCACAGGCCTATAATTCTCACATTCAGAGACTGAGATAGAAGGATGGAGAGTTTAAGGCCAGCCTGGTCCATGGTGTACACAAGAAATTCCAGGCCAACCTGGGCAATAGAGCAAGACTTTATTGAAAGGAAGGGGGAGAGAGAGAGAGAGAGAGAGAGAGAGAGAGAGAGAGAGGGGAGGGAGAGAGAGAGAAGGGAAACATATACGTAGGATGTCTATGTTGGGATGGGACCTTGAGGACATTGGGACCCACAAGTCTCTTCATCCCCTACAATTCCCCATCTTGAAGGCCTGCTGGATTGATGGGGACCTCATTTCCTCACCAACTAATGTTGTATCTTCTCTTGTAGGTTTTGTACATCAGGAAGAAGAAGAGGTAATTTCCCAGCTGCTCCCTGATGCTCTAGCCCATGTGCAGGGCTGGGCTAGGCTCCAGGGGATGTGGGTGGGAAAGGAGAAAGAGGGCCCCCAGCCCTAGGCACCCTCTCCTTGCTCAGAGTCAGGCCCTCTTCTGCCAACTTAGAGTTGGGGGTGGCCAATTTTCCTCAGTGAGGGGCTGAGAGCCCCCTCCAGGGTCTTATACACACAAGTAGACAGGTGTGAAGGTTCTGAGAAAACAGATATAACCCTGGGATTAGGGATGGGGGGAAGGGAAGAAATTGGGAATTCTCTCTATCCTACTACTCTTTCCTTGATGCCCTGAGTTGACTTGTCACTGGTTCCTCTCCCCAACCTCAGTCCTCAGAAACTGTAAATTGCAAAAGGGCTCTGGTCTAGGTAGTCCCTGTGGACCCCTTGAATGATACCTACATGGCCCATGGCCCCACCAATCCTAGGAGTGGCTAATTGTTCCTTCCCAGGCTACCCATCTGAGGGTCAAACTGGTACAATAGGTTCAAAGATATATGTTAGTGAATCCTCAGGGAAGACTTAGGCACCCTAAACTTGGTGTGTTCTGTGGTTCCCTTGGCCCAAGGTAGGACCTGAAGGACTAAGGGATGACAAGGGTCTTCCCTACCCCCAGTAGCCTCTGTCCTACCCCCAGGCTGGAGAAGCTGCGCCACCAGCTCATGCCCATGTACAACTTCGACCCCACGGAGGAGCAAGACGAACTGGAACAGGAGCTACTGGAACATGGGCGAGATGCAGCCTCCATGCAGGCTGCTGCCTCCCTGCAGGCTACACAGGGCAAGGTGGGCACTGACCAGGCTCCCCACACAGCCTGGAGCTCCAGCATCCTACCTTCCACCCTTTCCGTACAGCTTGCCACCATGTGCCAGGTGGTAAGGTAGCAGCTTTGAGTATATGGATCTTTTCAGGTTTGTTCAGAAACTACTATAATTGGTCTGTGGTTCTCACAGACTCACTGTTCAAGGCCAGGCCAGAAGCTGGCCTGGGATCCCACCTGGCTGTGCTCTGATAGCCTGCAGATCTTGGAGGCCCTGTTGGGATCTCTGAGCCTCATTTTCTTGTCTGCAGAAGGAAATCCTAATACTTTTTAATATTTATTTATTTAATAGTTTATTTTTATTTTATATGTGTGTGTTGCCTACATGTATATAGATGGATCATATGTGTACAGTGCTCATGGAGACCAGCAGAGGGCATTGGAGCCCCTGGAACTGGAATTATGAATGATTGGTAGATTCCATGTGGGTGCTGAGAATCAAACCTAAATCTTTTAGAAAAGCAGCAAGTGTCCTTAACCACTGAGCAATCACTCCAGCCCCAATTTTTATTATTTTTAATTGTGTGTGTGTGTGTGTGTGTGTGTGTGTGTGTGTGTGTGTGTGTATTGCAGGTGCCTGAAGTGGTGTTGGATCCTCCCTGGAGCTAGAGTTACAGGAGGTTGTGAACTTCTCTGATGTGGGTGCTGGGAATCAAGTAGATTCTCTGGAAGAGCAATATGTGCTCCTAACTGCTAAGCTATCTCTCCAGCCCCAGAAATCCTAATTCTTACTGACTGGGAAGCAGGAAAAAACTAAAGGCAAGATTGTCAGGGGCTAGGATCCTTGGGTACCTCTATTTCATGAGGCTCTATGGTCCTAAGCGGGTTGTGGGTGGGGTCAGACTCTTGAGCAGTGGTACTTCCATGTAGGCTGCTGAATCCTAGCCACCAACAATCCAGGGCAGTGAAGACCCAAGTCAAATACACATCCTACATGTAAAGGGGTGGGCACACATGTACTCATCCTGTCAGAGCCACTGGGCAGCCTGACCACTTGCCACCACTTTCCCAACTCCCCAAAGACCAGAGTACCATGAAGGGATTTGGCTTGCCCTTGATCTATTCAAACTCTTAGCATCTTCCTGGACTCAGGAAGTTTCCATCTGGGGACCCCTTGGTTTCACTGCCAGTTCTGTGTGACTGGGGTCAGGATACATTGTGTCCTTAGGATATTCAGAAAGATACACTTAAAATGTTGTCTACATAGCCCCCAGGACTGCTGGCCCTTTGACAATTCTTTCTCTCTCTCTCTCTCTCTCTCTCTCTCTCTCTCTCTCTCTCTCTTTCTTTTGGGTGGGGTGTTTTTTGAAACAGGGCCTCCCTGTAGCCCCAGCCGGCCTGGAACTCACTATGTAGACCAGGCTGGGCTTGAACTTACAGAGATCCACCTACCTCTGCCTCCCAAGTGCTGGAACTACAGGTGTGTACCACCATGCCCAGTGCAGTTCTTTCTTTTTTAAAAATTATTTTTATTTTATGTGTATGAGTGTATTGCCTGCATGTATGTAAGTGTACCTAAGTCTTGCAATGCCTGCGGAGGTCAGAAAAGGGTGTTGGATCCCCGGAACTGGAGTTACAGACAGTTCTTAGGTGCCATGTGGGTCCTAGGAACCGAACCTGCAAGCATTCAGTGCTCTTAATTGCTGAGTCATCTCTCTAGCGCCAACAGTTGTTTCTTATGCACATCTCTTGTGTTTGTCCCTATCTGTGGGAGGGTAGGAGAGGGGCTGGAGTATTGAAGGCCAGAGGTGAGATCGCCCCTGCTGGCAGAAGGAGATAAATACATAATGCATAATTAATTCAACATTGAGCCCATAGTAAGTGCTGCCAAGGTGACAGGGCAAGCTGGGAATGGCCTGGGGAGGGAGGAATTATCTGAGCCAGGTCACATTTCTAGGCTAAGCCTAGTGGAGGGCATTCTAGGCAGAAGGCATATCTGATGCCAAGCAAAAGCAAGCACCAGGAAGTGAGGGTGGAAGTGATTGGGCCAGAGACTGACCTTGGTCAAGGTTTCTGATGCCCCTGCCTATCTTCCTGCAGAGCACTCTCCCTTCCCAGGGCCCACTGCAGCGACCTAGCAGGCTGGTGTTTACTGATGTAGCCAACGCCATCCATGCGTGAATGGCCCAAGGACAGACCTGGACCTCTGACAGAGACACGGCCACAGTGCCCACAGAGCTGCCCACTCTCTGATTGTCAAGACCTATTCTCAGGATGTGTGCTGCCAAGACAGGAAAGGGCTGGAAGAGACACCAGCTGTGCTGTGGCCCCACCTGCTGACTCTCAGGCTTGAAGAGAGAGCCCTGGCCAGGCTAGCCATCTGGCCACTGACTTCTCCTGACCCGATGGCCCTGGCATGGAAGGCAGCCCTCATATAGGAAGGTGAAGAGCCATTGCTGGCTTCCTGGTTTCCTGGCTATACCCTTCACATCAAGGTCTGCTTCTCTAATGGGAAGGAAATGAAATGGTGGGATACATGGGCATGAAGGGGAAGGGAAGAGAGAGAGGACTTCTCTAGGATAGATTTTCTCTTTTTAGTCTAGAGCCTCCTCTAGGGTGGAGAGAGGGAACCACTCATATGATAGAGACAGGGCAAAGTAGCACCTTTTATAGAACTTAGAGGCCCAAGGATGGAGCTGGAAATGCTCAGAAGGCAAGATGCCAAGGGAAGGGCTACACAAACCCAGGGTCCATCCATATTACAGAGGTCTCCCAGCCACACATCCCTGGCAACCAGGATTGATGCTAAGGAAGAAGGAGTTCAAAGCTGCTCTGGGACCTCATACCTTGACTTAAAGATATAGTTACAATGCCTGCCATATCCTAGGATAGAGAATCAAGTGGACAGGACTTTGTGGGATCAGGTCAGGAAGAGGGCTTAAGCTTCATATGAGGACTAAATATGGAAAGATGCATTCCCCAGACCTGGATAAAGGCCTCATGCATATGTAAGAGTGAACCCCATGTAGATGTGTACCTGTCCCAGCATAGGAGCAGGATAGAGGCCTTCAGTATTGACTCCACCTTCTGAGTTGACTCCCACTCCTTGGCATGTAGTAGAGCATGATAATAGGCTGTTTCCTTTCCTTCAATGATCAGGGTCTCCATGGAAGAAGGAAACAAGGCGGGGTTCCACTGTTCACTGTGTATCTTCAGTGGACTGTGAAAGCTGGGCTGACCTGCTTCTGGAAATGTCTCCCTGCCAATGTGGGAATCTAGAGTTCTGGAGAGGCTGTTGGTATGAGGATAATCATAGTCTGGAAGCTGGTGGGAGAGATTATGACTGCCAGGAGGAGAGTGTCCTTTGAGGAGAGGATCCAAGATTCCTACTTTTTAGTTTCTCCCTTCTTTGCCATCTGCAAGAAGAGCCACTCAGTATTTGTTGAATGTGGAAGAGAGTCTCTGCAATTCCCCCTAAGTCTTGGAGGGGCATCTGGGTAGGGTAGACCCCCCATAGCAGGATAGTTTTTTCTATACTGGGCACGCACACACACATGTGCATGCAAAGAGGCATGTCCCTAGTTTCATCACTATCACTGTCTTCTGCTGGTTAGCGGGGGATGCGGGGGTGGCATGTTTAGATATGCTATTAAGCAAATACCACATGTCATGAGGTGAGGGGATCCCACGGGGAGGGAAGGTTCTGGATTTATTCCCACCTCTAGATGCTATAAATACATTAGCACTTGCATAACTGGAGGGCTGTGAGTAATTTAGGATGCACAAAGCTGTAATTTAACTCACAGCATCTCTATGTGTGAGAGTATTAAAGATGTAATTAAGATGTTTATACAAAGAGAATGGAGTCTGTGACACTTGAGGTGCAAACCCCAGGAGGGGACAACAATGGGTGAGGTGAGGATCTGTGGGAGGCCTGGGGACAGTCACTTGGATCCCAGCTATGAGGTGGGTTTTCCTTGATCTATCCATGGAAATGCTTTGACCTAGAATTCAAGGCTGCTCTGGGGCCTCATGCCTTGACTTGAAGATGGGATGACAATGCCTGCGGTATTCTGGGGTGGAGAGATTAAGTGAACAGGACCTTGTGGGACCAGGTCAGTAAGAGAACTTGAGCCTCAAAGGTTGTGGAGTGGGATATGGTACCTCAGGACACACAGGAGCTAGGTCTGAAACACAAAAGTAGTAAGGCCTCCCTTGGAGTACAGAGTACAGGATATGGGTAGCATAGAGTGGGGAGTCATTGAGGTTATATGTATAGAACCCATCTATTAGGTTCAAAAGGTTTGGAGGAGAAAGATACTGGGCTGACCAGACATTCCAGTTTGCCCAGGAATATCCCAGTTTTAGTGCTGAAAGTTCCATGAATGAAAGAGAACTGAGGCTCAAGCTAGCATCATGGAAACAAGGAGGGGGTTAGCCTTCAAGTTCCATGATGGAGGGCTGGGCTGAAGGTGGGGGCTTTAAGATGGAGCCTTAGGCAAGCTGAGGACCATGCGTCTTATGGGCCTCCCACATGGGTCACAGCTAGACCTGTTAGTGATAGCTCTGCTCTTAGGAAGGAGTCTCTTTCCCTCAGAAGACTGGCAAGATTCCTGAGGGTATGGGGTGAGCAAAAGATTGAGTGGACTATGTGTACCCAACTTATTAGGCAGCCCCTTTGTCCAGGAATGTGTGTGCTGCAGATCTGATGTCTGGGGATCCTGAAGAAACAGTGCTTGGGGAGCAAGGCTGATACCCAGGGACCAGGCATGACAGGGCTACAGGAAGACCCCATGCCCTTCTCTCCTGCTGTGTGCCTCAGGTCCCTTTCTTGATAGACGGAGCCTGGCTAGGTGATGGCACAGCCTGCTGTGAGTGGCAGGCCACATCTTCATCACTTGTGCCCTCACAGTAAATTACTCATCCCTTCTACCCACCTTGTCCTGTTTTCTAGCTCTCTCCTACTCCCAGAGGAAAACTAAGTTCCCATGTCTTCCCATATTAATGTAGAACTGATAAATATTGGGGTGAAAGGCTCTAGTAAATGTATCATTGGGGCATCAAGCCTAGAGGAACTCTCCTCACTGCCCTCAGCAGCCATTGGGGTGAGATGGGATTGCTCACCATTTCTGCTTCCAAAATTGACTGACAGGTGGAGCTCTCTGAGAAAACCCTACACACACACATACACACACACACACACACACACACACACACACAC